AGTTTCGAAAAGGTTGATTTTTATTATTTCTTTAAAATCCAGAAGTAGTTTCTATATATAAAAGTCAAATTCTATTAAGTTAATCAATGAACGTCACTTAATTGGAGTTGTTCAGGACGTAAGAATTCACATATCCTAAAAGTTTAAAGCAAATCGGAGAACTTTTTACTAAGATGTTTTTGCATTTTATGTTTGAGCGTAAAATGCAAAAACATCTTAGTAAAAAGTTCTCCGATTTGCTTCAAACTTTCAGGATATGTATTTTTACGTCATGAACAACTTCTATTAAGTGGCTTTCATCGATTAACTTAATAGATTTTGACATTTATATATAGAAACTACTTCTGGATTTTAAGAAATTATCAGGAGTAGCTTATTTTTGGAATTACAAATTTTCCTATGTTTCTTCTCCAAGAAAAAAGGGAGTAGCTTATTTTTGGAGGTGGCTTATTTTTGACAATATATGGTAGAGATATTGAATATATATGAAAGAAGGTGAAAATAAAGTTGTATTGTTAATTTGTAATCTTGATATATAGTAGAGAATCCATAATTTTTTGTATATTTGATGATTAATTTTAAGAAGAAGTTTAATAGTAAAAGATGTTGCTATTTTGCTAGATATAGTATACTTGCTTAATGTGTTAATAATATCAATTGGTACTAAGCCAGAGAGTGTAGAAGCTAAAGAAGGTTTATGAGTAAGTTGGTAAGCTTGAAAACTATCAAGATTTAGAATAGAGGTGTGGAGGTTGCGTGCTTGAAAATATGAGATTTGAAGTTTGTTATGACTTAAAATATGTTTTAATGAGCTACAAATAGAGATTCAGAGGATGAGCAAGATATCCAGTAAAGTGAGTTACTTTCTTGTTGGCATATATGACACTTATTAGAATAGAAAGCATTTCTTCTATAAAGAATATTAGGCGTTGGTAAATCATCTAAAAGTAATTTGACTCCGAAAGATTTGTGTATGGAGGATTGGAAGTTGTATGAAAAATTTGATATTTTTTGGTTATTATTAAGATAGAGCCACGTTGCTTGCCAGTTAATTAGAGATGTAATTGGGATCTATTTTTGGAACCAGTTTTGAGATGACTAGTTGGTGAAGATATATGCATGGCATATTGTTCTAATATTGTAGCATATAGGAAGTTCAATTGGAAGATTGTTAGAGCTAAAAGTAAATAAAGAGTTGTATATATTAGTTGTATTGAAAGTAAGATATAGTGCTTACTGATAGTTTCGGGCTAATTAGTCAGCTGCATTGTTAAAGATGTCATCCTGATGCATATTAACTTTGTGAAATATAATATTTAAATTGTAGAATTTAGAAAAGTTTAAAAGAGTGTTCCAAACAGACCAGTAAGAGGTATTTATAAAATTTGTATTATAGATATTGTGTAAAAGATTGTAAAACTTTGAAATAACTAATTAGGAATCTGTAAAAATTTGTATAATGCAGTTTCTAGGAGCAGTACAGATAGCTGATGTTATTGCTATGAGTTCTGCCTTGTATAAGCAAGGCCAAAGTTCAATTTTGGCTTGGAAGATATGGAGTATAGTTTGATTTTGTATTTGTAGCCAGCTGATATCTATAGAGCATTGGGAGATATCTATGTTTGTAACAGAGCCATCAATATAAAAGTTGAGATTAGAGGTATTTTGATTATAAGTGGCTATTGATTAAAGGTTTGAGTAGCTTTACTGAAAGTAAAGAAAGTTGGTATTTGCGATTGTTTGATAATAAGTATGGGAAGTGGTAGAATAGAAATAACATTTGAAATTAGAATTGAGTATATAAGGTCCGGTAGTTGGTATGAAAATTAATTGATTTGTCTATATTAAGTCTACCAAAGAACTTTGTTGCAAGATTTGTGTAAATAAAAATGGTGCATTTATTAGCTAATAAGTTGGTATTAAGTAGACAATTGGTACAAGATAAAAGAGATATAGGAGCAAGTGGATATAGTTGTATTGAGTAGGTAAGATTGTAGCATTGCCAATGAATAATGAGTATGTGACTAGTTGGTGTACATTAGTGTCAGGATTTACCAACAACCAGTTGGTTGTTGAGTAAAGAGTTTAGTGTGTTGGTAGAAGTGGTCAGTACTATAGCTATAGTAGTTAGTAGGTGAAAGATTAAAGTGTGAATGAATAGTTCTTTGGAAAAAGCTAGAAGTAGAGATGTTTTCTAATGTAGTAAACCATTTAGGTATTCTGCCTTTTGGAATTTTGTTTAGTCTTGGTGAAATGTGTTGCCATTCAAGCAGATAAAGATTGTTAAATGTAGTAAGCTGATCAAGAAAAAGTAGGTGATGGTGTCAAATCATATATATTTATATATAAGTGTAAGTTTATAATAAAAATTATAATACTAAAAATAAATTTGTAATTATATATAAACTATTATGCCAAATATATTTACTTAGAAAATAAAAATAAGTAGTTATAGTAAAAAAAAGTTATTTATAAATAAACTAAAAGTTTTAATATTTTTATATAGTAAACTTTTTTTACTAAAATAATCTGTATTTATCTTTTAAGTAAAGTTGTTTAACAGAGGTGTGGTGACTTAGTGTAGTGGTTTAGTTGTTACTTTTTTCAAGTAGCAGGTTTAAAGTTCGAATCTCACAGATGACAATATTTGAAAATAGGCCTGTGTTTAATTAACAGCTATGCTTATTAGTTGGATCTAGAACTAAATTTATAACTTTGGTTATACCATCTAGTAATGGGAGCTTTGGTGCAATAAATCTGAGAAACCAGTATAACCAAAAACCTATTTAAAAAGTCCCAAATTTGAATGTAACAGTGATCTTCAATAGTACCACAGGAGGGCTAAATTTAAACCGGTGCCTGAGATCAGAGAACCAAGTAATCAGGTTCTTAAGGGGGCATCTATAAATAACATTATGTACCTCTACATAGTAGCTCTTGACTAGAGTTGCAGGTGAAACTAATTAATTTCACCTGGTAAAACTGGTGAAGCTGGTGCACTATCAGTGCACTATAATAGCCAAATCGGTGAAACTGGTGAAGCTAGTGAAACAGTGTTATTGGTGATATTAGTGAAACTGGTAGTGTTGGTGAAACTAGTGGTATTGGTGAAACTGGTGACATTGGTGAAGCTGGTGATATTGGGGAAACTAGTGATATTGGTGGTAATTAGTAATATTACCAGATTTGCTAATATCACAGTTTCACAAATATTATCAGTAGCATTTCTATGAACCTGAATAAAATTGAACTTAGGGTAAGTTCAGGTTCAGTTCAACTTTTGAACTGACCTGAACTAAACTATAAACAAAATAGTCCATGTTCAAGTTTGATACTGAATATTTAACAGGTGTTTAGTTCAGGTTCAAGTTTAGTTCAAAAGTTAATGAACTTCTTCTAGAGTTTGAGTTAGACAATTCATACGTAGCATTGTTCTAGAAAAATTGATAGCTGAATTTTTTTCTGACTTACATAGATATAGGTTTAAATTAATCGCCAGTGAGTTTATAAAGCTTAATGTCACATCACTTAGACTTTTATTTATCTAGGTTGAAAAGCTAACACGAGTAAAATAATAAATATTTATGAGTTATTATTCTAAACACTTATATAGGACAGACCAAAAGACTATCAGTCCTAATACAGTTAGCATAAAATATCATACTAAACATTTATAGCCTAATTTTTTGTAATCTTATTGGGTTTAGATAAATTTCAGATAAACTAAAATTTATTATCAATATTTTGTATTAAATTTTTGGACTATATGTTATATAAGTTATAAGAATTATAAATCAGCATGGACAAGAATTAATAGATTATATTAATTATTCGATTAATAAATAATGTTAACTTAATTGACTTGAACAAAAGATTATTTTATTGACCAAATCAGCATAGATAATAGACTAATAAAACTAATAAGAAGTATATATATTGTTTTCAAATGTTTTGATTAAACAAAGTACTTTATACTTTCCAGTTAAATTAAACCTAAATAATTGACTTAATGAAAATTACAGATAATTTATAATCTTACAGAGATAGAATATTAAAATATTTTTGTTATATTTTAGACTAACTTACAGACTAATATAATTTAAATATAAAGAAATGGCCTATTTTAAATACACCACTATTATTATTACCGACTAAAATAAATAAAACAAGAACCCAAATTAAAATAGTTATTTTTCACAATTGCTAGTAAATTTCTGGTTATATGAGGCCTGAAGGGCTCTTATATATATATTTTCCAAATATCTAATATCCAATAGCTAACTATTGCTAACTATTTGTGCCAAAAATCCGATCTTTGGCACAAATGTTAACTATCAGGTATCGGATATTATACTTTGAATTCGCTCCCATTGCCATAAAACACATATTTTTGATATTAAAATAAATTAGTAATTCGAAATAAATTAAGAATGTAAACTGTATCTTATTTTTTTTACATAAAAAAATAATTGGTAAAAATATAAAACAATGCAATAATTTATTATAAAGATATATAACAACTTTAAAGGCTATGACAATAATAATAATTAAAAATTTTACTCAGTTTTTTTATTTAATCTATACTTTATTATAATAACAGGTTTTTTTAACAAGGATTAGATATAATTATCTAATATTTTAATTAAAAAAGATTTATCTAGTTATATGTATAGTATATAGCCCATTAAAATATACCTACAAAAATCATTTGTATGATTCTCAAAATTCATACGCATGCTATTACTAGTTCTAATAATAATGGACAAGTTTGAATATTTGTTTAGAGGTAGCTTTTATATAATAAACGATTAATAAACCAATAGTTTGAATGGAGTCTATAATAATAATACATAATAATTAATAATTAATATGTTGATACAATTTATTGCAGGAAAAGAAAATAGCAAGTAAAAGAAATGGCAGGGAGAAAATATTGGGAAAGAAGCAGCAGAAAAAGAAAGGGCATAATACAGAAAATGTCAAGGAGTAAATGATAGAGAATGTACATGTTGGGAAAAAGTAATGTTTGGGAAAAGCAAGTATTGGAGAATAGTAAATGTTGGGAAAAATTAAATGTCAGAAAAGTAAATGTTAGTGAAGGGTAAAATGGTGGGAAAGGGAAGTATCAGGGGAGGAAGTATTATAGAGCCTGAACCTGAACTTATTCATGAATATTGAACTAAACCCGAATTGAATCAATAGTCATGGCAACTTTTAGATTTGGGTTCAAGTTCCAAACCTGGGTTGACCCAAACACAAACCTCGGAACACTAATGACAAGTTTTACTAATGCCACCAGTTTCACCAATACTACCAGTTTCACCATCATCACTAGTTTCACTAACACTACCAGTTTCACCAACATCACCAGCTTCACCAATATCACCAGTTTCACTAATACTGATTGGTGATTGGTGGTAATTGGTGCACTGTTAAAGATTTGTTTTATCTGCAACTCTACTATTGACCCCCAGACTATATAAAAAAAATTTAAAAATCCATAAGTTTATATATATAATTTTACAAAACTTGGATATATTATAACCCAGTAATCCAATTAGGATGATTTTGGTACTGTTTGAATACTCTCAAGGTGAGGAGTCGAATGGTATCAAAATCATTTGATTTGGACTACTGGATCATGTTTTATTAATAAAATACTATTGATTTTATAATAATTTTATAAGAAAATATAATAACCAATAGTATTTCGTTAATAAAACATGATCTAGTGATCTAAACCAAATGATTTTAGTACTATTCGACTCCTCTCCTCAAAAAGATTCAAATAGTACCAAAAGCATCCAATTTGGATCACTGAATCAAATTTTAGACAATTTTTATAAAAAATTGTGTTATGTTTTGGGGAACCCCCTAAATATTGGAAAATTGTTATATTTTGGAGAACCCCCCACTCTCCTCAAGCATAACGTTATTTATGGATGCCCTCTAAGTAGGGAAACACATTAGCTAGGCTAACGCACTGGAGAAAAAGAGCATATGCTCTGAAAGTATAAACTAAAAGAAGGGCACCTAAAGCCTAGGCAGACCGACCCATCCAGGTTGCCAGCTGGAAGTAAGAGAGAGACTGATAAAGAATTTGGGTAAGAAGACAGTTTCAAGTGTGTATACTGGGGTTGTTGTAAACTAATTAAGGGCAATAAGTACGTAATGGAAAACTAATTAGAAAGGTTGTGGTTTGAGATACAGATTGGGTTATAGCAGTGCTCTAAAAGGCAGCTTGAGATACGAACTCAGTGTCAGCAGTACAACAGATACAACTAGGAAGATATTATAGAACATGTAGGTGAATATATGTGTGGAACATGCATTGCTCTGTTGGGCTTATTTTTGAGGATAGTTAAGTGTTCTAAGTTGGCTAAAAATATGTATTTGTATTGCAAAATCTATGTTTGAATAGTGAGTTACACCCACGCTAAGTAATATTAGGCCAAATATGTTGAGATCAGAAGGTTTAAATGGGTAATCTCCTAGTTGGGTTACAGGTACGGCAGATAGTGTAGAACCTTCGAGCAGACTATTTAAATAGACACCCAAAAGATGCATGTGTGGCTTAATATACTTTTGTCATAATGTATAGTATCTAATTTTGCTTAATAAACTCTCACCGACTAAGAAGGTCTTCTTTAATTAAAAAAAAAGTTGTTTAACATAAAATTCAGTTATATAGTTAGCTATTTTTATCGCAAAAAACTCTTTCTGCAAATCCCTAACACAAAATTTACTTAAAATCTGTCTAACAAAAACATCTATTTATACAAAATTTACTATGTTAGTCTAATTATATACAATAATAAAGTTGTTCAGTTCATCAAAATACACATAATACTCAAATTTCAAGTCTCTAGCTCTTATATTCATGAAGTAAAGCTCTAAACGTTTTTTAGTTAAAAATTCAAACTTTTGCCATTTACTCTTTAACCTGATTCTTAATCTCTGAAATATATTTAGTAAAAGTTGCTCTACACACTTTTTTTATTATAATAAGCTATATTTCATCTCTGTAGTATAAAAACTAACGAAGTTACTCTTTAAACTATTTTAACTTTCTTTTACTCACTCTTTACAACTTTTTTTGTCTTTTTTTTGTACTTTCCACTATACACGATTTTTGTGTAATATCCAATTACTTTCAAATTTATCTAAATTAACTTTATATTACGGAAATATTAATTTTTCTTTTATATTTTTCATTCTAACAATCAATTTTACACAAATTTGCTAATTATTACATAAAAGCTTAATTATTTATATAAAAACACCTTTTTTAGCTAGCTTTATTATCTCAATACCCCAAATTTTCTGCACATGATCTTCATACAGTCTGCACTCTAAAATTACAAAAAATTAAATATTTATAACTTATATTTTCATATATACTTTTCTATATTTATATACTATCCTATATATAGTAACAATTATATTTATTAATAATACAAAATCTTTAAAATTCAATAACTTTTGATCTACTAAACCAATTTAGATTATATAACTACCAAAATGATGATCTCTTCAAGATACTTCTAATGAATCCAAAATTATCTGATTCTGATCATGTAATCACAAACGCCGTCAAGATTTATTTTTCAAATTATCTATATTTCTTTATTAAGTTTTTTATTTTTTCTTTTTACTTTTAGTATTTATACTCTAAACTAACTATGATTCAAAAAAAATTTTCTCACTATAAGCTTTTTAGTGACATGCTTGATTGGTTTCAGGCATTTTCAATTAATTCAGAAGTCAAAAATTTAACACAATTCCCAACTTCTCTTGGAATTAATATTTTAAATTTTATTAAACCTTTTCTTTAAAATTTTTATCTTGGACATGCAACTTATACTTCTACTATTCCTCAACAACCTATTTGTAATAGGTTTAATAATCTATTACAAAACATGATTCTACAAAAGCCACAATTTCGTTTTGATATTATTTATCAAAATACCTCCAATACATCCTCTTTTAATTCCAATATTTCATCTGAGTTATTACTTTTTACTCTTAAAAATATTCTTTCCAACTTTACTACTGTTCTCTTTATAAGTCTTAACTATAAAAAAATTTTTCACTCACACTATTTTTTACCCTATACTCTATTTCTTAACATGCTCATATTGCAATTAATCTTGCTCATTTACACCTCTTTCTTCATAATAAATATCAAACTATCAACTATACCCAATTCTATTTTGATCTTGATCTTAAACCTATTTGACTTAGTTTATATTTTGATACTACTCATCATAATTTCAACTCTATATCACTAGAAATTAAATATAATTCTAAATATAATATTTATATTACCTTCAATATTGATCCACAATATTTTCTTCAAATATTTTATATTCCTTCTTTTAAAACATATTGTGCACTCCTTGATATCTGGTTTACTAAATTCTATAATATTTATAAAAAACAATTTTCATATATCAATTAGCCAAAAGTTTATAATTATATTAAATTTCAAACTATTATCTTTCTTTCTAATAATATTAAACAACTACTTCCAGATTCTTACCAACTTATATTAATTAATTTACTACAAGAATGTGCTGATACATTAATTAAAGCTACTTTATACCATTTACATACTTGTATAAATTCTACTTGCAATATCCTTTCTAACAATACTACACATACTTTTTATAATTAACCTCTTTTTTCTTTAAACAATCCTTTATACAATTTCCAACTACTTTAAATTATAGTAACCCTGATCTAGATTTTTCTAGCTTTGAACCAAATTAATCATTATCTGCTACATTATTTAACAATACTTTAATCAATTTTAAACATAAAACATCTTTCTTTTATACTTATTTTCAATAATCTCTTAAGCAAGCTGCTACAAATGATAATATAACCAATCTTAACTTCAAAAATGCATTACAACATGCTTTCTCAATTTCTACAAACCCTTATCACTTTGCTAATATTATAACTTATTTTAATATTATACAATTTTCTACTCACTTAATCTTTTTAATTTTTTCTGAATATTATCAATCTTATTTTCTACAAGCTATAAAATATATTTTTAAAAAACTTCTAATTCTAACAATTAATACAGATCTTTTTTTTACCAAACTTTCAAATACCTGAAATCCCTGATTTACTCTTTCTTTCAAATTATATTCATTATATTTATTCGAAAATAATTTATATATAATTATAACACACTCTTTTGCCTCAATTAAGTTTATACCAAATTTTATTAAATTTTAATGGACAAACTAATTTATTACAAACAAAACAAACAAACTAACTTCTTTTTTATTCTACCTCATAACTATTATTACTTACACTTTTATAACTACTATCTTCAAAACCAACCATATAACCTTTCTTAAAATAATACTTTCGTAATAACTCTATCTTTTGTAGCAACTTCACTTTTTGTTTATACAAATTATTATACTCTATATTCTTTTTCAAATTCACCATTGCTTGACTTAACTTCTTTTCTCTCAGTTGAATTTCTAATATTTCAAGTCTTTTTTTCAAACTTCTATTTTCATTTTGAAGACTAGATATTTAAATATTTTCATTAATATATATATATATTTTTTGTCTTACTACTTTTCTTTAAACTCTAATACTACTATTACTTTACTTACTGCTCTTCTTCAGAAGAACCAACACTAATAACTTCATATAAACACTCATTAACTGGCTTATTCTGAGAAATATTTTCTCTAATTACAACTACTTTTTTTAAACTTTTCTGCTTCTTTCATGACAAACTTCGTTTAAAACTTCTCTTTAAATGACTCTTCAAATAGCTCTTCCTTGGACTCATTTTGCTAAAGAACTTAAATGAAACTTCTAACAAACTTAAATTTCAAATAAATATATACTGTATAACTTAAAATTTTCTAATAAACTAGCACAAAATCAAAATAAGCAATCTAATTAGCAAATCCTTACCAAATCAAATCTTCAAAAACTGTACAAAATTGATTTTTATAACTTCAACTAGTTGTAGTATAGTAGTTACTGGAGTCTAACATATAACTGCAAAGCTGTATATTTGACCTCCACTAGTAACATACTCGACTTGGTGCGCTATAAAAGTATGACAAACAATTTTTTAACCCTAATTTACTATTTCTTTTTTCTTAAACTTCTCTTCTTTTTTTTTAAATTCTTTCTTTTTTTTTTCTCCAAACTTCTTTTTTAAATCTTAATTATAATTTCAACTTATATATTCAAAACTTCTTTTAAAAATACTATACTTATTGATATTACAA